AATTAAACCACACATTAACAACAAACATTAACACCAACAATAACACATTAAAACAAAAACAAACATTTACCACCCCACAAAAATCCACCACACCCAACACAAATTCAACAAACAACACCATTAACCACAACTACACAACCCTCATCCATACAAAAACCCACACCCAATTCACAAACACACACTACAACAAACACATTAAAATATTCAACACATCACTAAACACATAACAAACCCACACACCCACAATCAAACACAACCCCATACCCAAAAACTACACCTAACACAAATAAACCAAATTAAACAAAACAATTAAAACACATTACACAAACAAACACAACACTGTCACAAAACAACAAACACACACATAACAATAAAAAAACATACAAACATGCCCACATTACACCCCCACTAACAACATACCATAACAATCAAATCAATACAAACTCCTCTATCTATCATACCAAAAAAATGACACCCACCAACCATAACCCATACACATCATAATCACCCCCCCACCCCAAACCCTCATCTTACCCCAAACCAACACACACACTACCAAACCTAAAATCCGATAAAATAATCTTTTCAATAAATATACACACACATCAATCCATATTCCTAACCTCTATCTACATCCTCTTATATACTCAAAACCATCTACACAACACCACATACTTCTAATCCCATCTCCCCCCCCCTTCTCTTCTTCCACTTCCCCCTACTCCCTACTCCCCTTTTCCTTTTAATAACCTTTTTATCTCATCTTCAAATCTTTAAACTCCAATACCAACAAAATATCACAACCCTATACCCACTCCCTCCTAAACTCCACCCCTTCACACACCATCATCTTTACATCCCTAAACCCCCCCCACCCTTCCTCCCCCCCCTAAACCTACCTTAACCCCCCTAACCCCCCCCACCAAACTACATTAACTTACTTTCCCCACCACTTATCTCCACTCTCTCCATCCCTCTCCCTCTCTCTCCCTCTCTCCTCACTTTCCCTATATCTCTACCCTCCTCTCCCCCCTTTCCCTCAATCTCCCTTCTCTCTCTCTCTCTCTCTTTCCTTTCTCTTTACCCACTCTCTTTCCCCCTCTCTTTTCCCTCTCTCTTTTCCCCCTCTCTATTTCCATCTCTCTTTCCCTCTCCCCCCCCTTCCCCCTACTACCCAACCCCCCTATCCTTCCTCCTCCCCTAACCCCTCTCTTCCTTCAACCCCCCTACTAAAAACCATATCACACTAACCTACTACCTCACCTTACCTCAACCCTCCCCCCCCCACTCACACCCCCCCACATAATCAAAACAAATCCATATTAATCACCCCATAAACACTCAACAAAAATGAACCTCAAAATTACCCATTTCCCTCCCAAAACCCTCCCACCCAAAATTCCTCTCAATAATACCATCCCATCCCTTCCCAATTCACATCCACCCCTCCCAACAACCCCTAATAACAAAACCATCCCCCCCCTCCAAACCTCCCAATCACTTAACTTAACACACTAATTCCCACATCTAAATATTCCCCCCCATACCACCAATCTCAACATCCCCAACCACCCCACCCCCCCCCAATCCCCCCCCCCCATCTCCCCCAAATAATCATAATTCCACCTCATCCCCCATCACCCCCCCATTCACATAAAACCCAATCCCCCTCATCCCCCCACCCCCCCACCCCCAAACCCACCCCCAATATCCAACCCACTATCATCCACCCCAAATACCATACTCACTCAATCCTCCAACCCACCCTACACATCCACACACCCCCCCCCCCCAACCTAATCCTCCCCATTCATCTCCCTCACCCATCTACCATCCCCCCCAACTCCCCCTCCCCTCATCACCTCCCCTATCCCATATTCATCCTCTCCATCCCCCTTCAAACCCCATTATTCAACCCCCTATCCGATCCCTTCAATTTAATTCCTCCCATCTTCATCCTCTCACTCTTCCCTATTATCCCCAACAAACATCATCATCCCCCATTCCCCTCACATTTACTCCCCCCCCCCCCCCCATTCTACCTCATTTATATACACACCCCCATTTATCATACTTCACTCATCCATCCTACCACCACCCTACCATTAACTCCTACACAACAGACACTCATACACAACATACCCTTCCCCACCCAACCATACACCCTCCCCTACCCCAAATTACATCTCACATTCATACCCCCACCCCCCCCAAATCTTCAACTCAACTATCCACCCCTCACCCACATTACCCCCCTTCCACTCACCAATTACCTCACACAATTATCCCAACCTATAAAAACACTTACCCCACCAAATTACACAAATTACCCACACTAACACCACAACTCCCTCACCAACCTACCACACACAATTAACACAATTCCAACAATTAATCCCCACACAATTAAAATAACAACCCCCCCCCAACTCCACTACCAAAACCCCCCCCCCCCCCCCCCCCCACAACAATCCCCAACAACCCCCCCACAAACAAAAAAACCCCCCCCCCCCCCCCCCAAAAACCACTAATCAAAAACCAAACCACATCAACTCTCCCCAATTTTTCCCCCAACACCCCCACCACCCATATCCTCCATCAAATACCTCCTAATACCATCCCATCTACACCCACTATAACCACCCACCCTTACTATTTTTAACATTCATCCCCTAAAATTCTTCTTCCTATCTCAAATGTCCCCCCTAACTTTTTCTATATCCTCATATCCCTCCACCCCTTATAATCATCGTTTATCTTCCCTCCTTACCCCCACCCACAACCATACTACCATTCCCCCCCCCATAATCCCTCCCTTTCCTCTCCCTTAACCCCACTCCCCACCCCATCCACCAAAAACCCCCCCAACAAACCACAACCAAACATCCACAAAACCCCCACCCATTACCCAATTTAAACACCACAAAAAATACCCACATTCCACAAAAATTACCCACAAAAACACACACCACCACCAATTCCACACACAATTACACCAAAACCACATTACACCCACCTACAACAATATTCAACATTACACCCACCCAAACATTACCCACACAACATTCACAACCCACCACACATTAATAACCCCACCCTCCCCCAAAATATAACACCTCCAACCCCCCCCCCCCCCCCCTAACAAACATTCCACCCCCCATCCACCCTCACACCCTACCCACAAACACCTAAACCATATTATATTCATTTCCACATCTCCCTCCTAATATCACACCTATACCCAACCCCACACAAATCCCATCCACAACCCCACCATCTCCCCCTCTCCCCCTACCTCTTACCCCCTTACCTCCTATAACCCCAACATATCCCCCACCTATCCCACACCACCTCCCAATCTCTCTCACCACCTAAATCCCCCCCCCCCCTTCCCCACCAAACACCACCCCCCCCTTCCCCCCCCATTCACTCCTCCACTCCCCCTCCCCTCTCCTCTCTCTCTCCCTCCCTATCTCTAATATTTCTCCACCATTTACTCTCCCTATCTATCCCCTATTTTCTCCCCCTTATCTCTCCTATCTCTCCCCTCTATCACCCCCCTCTCTTCTCTATCCCCCCTATTTCTACCCTATTCATAATCTAATCCCCCCCTCTCTCTCCCCCCCTCTCTCACCTCCCCCTCTACCCACACTCTCTCCCCCTCTCTCTCCCCCCCTCCTCCCACACCCCCCCCACCCAAACAATAACACATCAAAAACCCTTCACTATAAACACATTTTTCCCCCTCCCATTCTTCATCCCTATACATTCCCCTTCCATATATCTCTCTCTCTACATCTCTCTCTTACCCCTCTCTCTTCTCTCTCTCTCCCCTCTTATCTTTCTCCTACTCTCACTTACCATTCTTCCACCCCTCTCCCCTATAAAACTCCAATCTCATACCTTACCCCCCACTCCTACCCTCAACCCATACCCCCCCATCCCTATTCTCCTTTCCCATACCCCCCCCTCATTCTATACCCACCCCACCTTTATATCATTCCTCATACCACACCACCAATCCCCCCCCCCCCCCCCCTATCCACCCCCAACCACCCAACCCCCCAATAAACAACCCATCAACCCCCCCCCCCCCCATACAACCCCATCCCTCCAAAACCACCCTCCCCCCACCCCCCCCTATCTCACCACACCACCCAACCACACACTTCCCTAAACCCCACTAAACCCAAAACCCCCCCCCCCCCCCCCTCTACCATATACCCCCCCCCCCATCCCCCCAACCCCCCCCCACACAACCCCCCCCCCCAACCCCCCACCCACCCACCCACCCAAACACTAACCCACCAACCCCCCTATCTTTCCCCACCATTTACAACAACCCCAAACACCCCCCCTTCCTACCCCCCCCCACTACACACCTTACACACCAACATAACCACTACACTCCAAACTACAACTCTACATTAATTAAATAAATCAATAATAACTCTACACTACCATAACACATCATCCACCCACCTAACCAACCATTAACCCCTTCCACCAAAACTACTCCTCACCTCAACAAACCTATCCTCTCTCTACTCCACCTTACTACACCACCACATCCTTTCCTCAAAAACCCTAACCTACTCAATACTACTAACTAACTACACTACACTCCACTCCCATCTCACACTCCACACATACACTCTATCAACATAACACAACATATCAACTCAACATCACTACCCCTACACACCACATCACCACTACTTCCATCACACACACCACTACATAACTATACATATACAACAACAACTAACACCCCAAACCCCCCCACTACCACACCACACCACACCACAACCACCCAACCTCACACAAACCAAACCACACCAACCACACCAACCCCCCACCAACCCACCCAACCCCCCACCCAACCCCACAAATTCCCAAACCCCACCCCCTAAACACACCCTAACCATCAATTTCCCAAACCCCAACAACACCCCCCCCCAACCCATCCACCCAACACAAACCACAACCCATTCCACCCCTCAATCCCCCAAAACCACACCCCCCCACCCCCAACAACCCCCCCCCACACCACAAAACAAAACCCCCCCCCCCCCCCACCCCAAACCACAATACCCCATACCCACCCAAACAAACACCCCCCCCCAAACCCCACCCACCCCACCACACCCCCAAAACCACCCCACACCTACCCACCCCCCCCCCCCCAAACCCACTACACCCACCAAACCAAAACCCCCCACCACAACACCCCCCCCACCCCCCCCCCCACCCCCCCCCACACCCACAAACCACCCCCACCCCCCCCCCCAACCCCCCCCCACCCCCCCCCCCAACCCCCTAACCCCACCACCCCACCCACCCACCCCCCCCCCCCCCCCCCACCCCCCCACAACCACCCCCCACCCACCCACCACACCCCCCCCCCCACAACCCCCCCACCCAACCCCCACACCCCCCCACAACCCCCCCCCACCCACCCCACACCCCACCCAAACACCCCCAACCACCCCACCCCACCAAAACCCCTCCAACCCCCCCCATACCCCCCCCCCCCCCCCCACCAAACACCCCCACACAAACCCCCACCCCCTCACCCCCCCACCCCCCCCCCCCCACCCCACATCACACCAAACCACAACCACCCCCCCACACCCACAAACCCACTACCACCAACCCCCCCCCAAAACACCAAACCCACCAAAACAACCCACCCAACCAACCCCCCACACCCCCCCCCCCCCCCCCACAACACACACCAACCACCCCCCCACCACCCCCCCCCCAACCAACAACACCAACACACACCCCACCAACACCCCCACAACCCACACACCCCCAACCCCCACCCCCCCCCACACCCCCCCCCCCCACCCCCAAACCAAACACCCCCCCAACCACCCCCCCCCCCCAAACCCCCCCACACACAACCCCACCAACCCCCACCCCCAACCCCCAACCACCAACCCCCCACCCCACACCACACACCCCCACACCAACCCACCCCCCACCCCCCCCAACACTCCACCACACACCCCCCCCCCCACCCCTAACCCACCAACCCCACCCAACACCCCCCCAACCCCCACCCCCCCCCACCACCCCAACCACACCAAAACTCCTAACCAACACCCACACCCACCACCCCCCACCCAACTCCCAACCCCACCCACCACACCAACCCCCCCCACCCACCAAAACAACCACCCCCCCCAACACCCCCCCCAAAACAAACAACACCCAACAACCCCCACCACCCCCCAACCACCCCAACCATCCAAACCTCCCACCCCCCCCCACAAACAAACACATCCCCCACAACCCCAAACCAACCCACACAACTCAACCCACCCCCCCCCACCCCCCCACCAAACCCACACCCCCACCCCCCCAACACACCCCCCCAAAACCCCCCCCAAAACCATAACACCCCACCCCACCCACCCCAACACCCAAAAAAACCCCCCCCACCCCCCACAAAAACCAAAAATCCCCCAAAAAACAACACCACCCCCCACCACACACACTACCCCCCACCCCCCCCCCCCCATCCCCCACCCAATCCCCCCCCCCCCATCCACCCCCCCCCCCCACCCCCACCCACCCCACACCACACCACCACCCCCCCCCTCAAACCCCCAAACACCCCCCCAACCCCCCCCCAACACCACAAACCCATTACCTACCCCCCAACAATACACTCATACCATTCCAATCACCCATCTTACCCCACACAACACCCATTCCTACCCAATATACCCCCCCCCCACACTCCCAAAACATATCCCCAAAAATCCCCAATACAACACCCAAACCCAAAAACACCAAACCCCACTACTACCTTACCAATACCCACCACTAACCACATCACCCAATCCAAACACCCCCCCATCTCCCCCCAACCCAACCCCACCCCACACACCCCCTCCCCCCAAACCCCCCCCCCCACCCCACCCCCCTACCAAACACCCCACCCCCCCCCCCCCACCACCCCACCCCCACCACCACCCCACACTACCACACACCCACCCCCATAAATCTACCCACCCACCTAACACCCACCTACCCCCACAACACCCAACACCCAACCCCTCCCCCCACATCCCCCCATAACCCCCACACCCCACCCCCCCCTAACCACCCAAAACCCAACCACCCCCCCAAACCATCCCTCCCCCCCCCCCACCCACCACACCACCCAAAAACAATTTCCAATTCAACACACAAACCCCCATACACCCCCACACCCCCCACTAACCTAACTCCTATCAACATCCCCCTCACACACCACACTACAAAACCACACATCCCACTACACACTCACACACCCCCCACACACTACCCTCTCATACCAACCCACACACATCCCCCCCCCACTACACTCCCAACACTCCCCACATTCACACACCCCACATCTCTCTCCCCACTCATCACACCACCATACTACCCACAACACACCACACATCACCCCCCTCACACACACCCCCCCAACACACACCCCTACCATCATCAACTCACACCCACACACACACCCCCACACACACACCCTACACACACCCCCCACACTACACTCCCCACAACACACACCCCCACACACAACCCCTCAACAATCACCTCATCACTCATCCACACTACTACCACTACCACAACACTCTCTCACCCCACACAACACCATCCTACAAATACCCCCCTCTCTCATCCCAACACACACACAAACCACAACTACCCCACACACACATCCCCAAACACATCCCCACACACACACACATCAACCCCCCCTCACTACACACACACCCCCCCACACACTCACCCTCACACACTCAACACACTCAATCATCCCCACTCACACACCATCACACTTCCACACACTCACCCCCACTACACCACCCACACACTCCCCCCTCACACTACCCAACACTCACCCACACACAACACACACACCACCCCCCCACATACTAATCACCACACACACACCACACACACTCCCAACACACACCCACACTACATCCCCCCACACACACCACACACCCCCACACACACTACCACACACACCACCTTACACACCTACTCACCCCACAACACACACACACACCAAACACACACCATCACACACCCCCCCATCACCCTACACACACCCCACACACACCCCCAACACCACCATCACTACCCCCACAACACACATTACACCCAAACAATACCCAAAACTTCCACACCCCCCTCACACCACCCCCAAACCCCCTATAACACCACCAAAATCCCCATCCCCCACCCCCCCCCCCCCCCTCCCACACACCCCCCCCTCCCACCAACCCCCACCCCCAACCCACAACCCAAATATCTCTCCCCTCAATATATCCCCTCTACTATCACCCCCCCCCCACAATACCCCCCCCCAACACCATCAACCCCCACACACCCCACACCCCCCCCTACACTCACCCCCCCCTCACTCCCCCCTACACACTCCCCCCTCCCATACCCCCCCTCTATTCCCCCTCTCCCCCCTCTCTCTCCCCCCCCACTTCCTCTCACTCTTATCAATCAACACACTCTCCCCTCTCACCCCCATTCTCTCCCCCCCCTCTCATTACCACATACTCTCCCCATTCTCTCCCCCCCCTCTCTCTCCCCTTCTCAATCATCTATATCACTCCCCCCCCCTCTATCCCACTCTCTCCCCTCTCCCCTCCCCCCCCCCCTCTCTTCCCCCCTCTTCTAAACTCACTCTCTCTTTCTCTCTTCCCCTTTCTCTCTCTCCTCTCTCTTCCCCCCCCCTCTCTTCCCATACCTCATCCCATCCATCCCCATCATTTCCCCTTCCGTAAAACTATCCATTAATCCCCTTCCCCCCCTCCTTCACCCTCAACCCATCCCCCCCCATTTCCCTATACCCTAACAAAACTAAACTCATACTCCCCCTTCCCCCAACCTATCCAACCCCCACCCCCCCCCCCAACCTTCCACAACCCCCCCCACCCACCCAACAACCTCCTAACCCACTTATATACCAACAATTTTCACCACCCTATATCCATCAAAACATAAACCAAACTCTCATACCCCTCCCCCCCCCCTCACCTCCTACACCCACTTCCACTACCAATTATACACCCCCATATCCCCCCCCACCCCCCACACCCCACACAACAAATACTAATCTCTCACAAACCCACCCCCAAAAACCCCCCCCCCACCCCATCCCCCCCCAACCACCCCCAAAAACCCCACTACCTCCCCCCCCCAACCCCCCCACCCCCCACCCCCCCACACTCCACAACCCCCAACCAACCCCTCCACAACCCAACACCAACCCACCAAACCCCTCACCCATACACCACCAAAACCCCCCCCCACCCCAACCACAACCCAAAAACCACACCCCCCCCCCCCAATACCCCCCCAACACACATTTCCCATACTACAAACACTCCAAAATCCATAACCCCCTTCCCCCCCCCCCCCCCCCCCCCCAAACACACCCACCCACCACCCCCCCCACCACAAATACCCCCCTAAACCACCCCCCCCTATACCCCCCAAAACAACCACCCACCCCCAATCATAACCCCAACAACAACCCAAACCCCACAACATAACCCCCCCCCCCATACCCCACCCCCACCCCCCCATTCACAAAAAACCACCCATTCCCCCACCCACCACCCAAATTCCACCACCCAATACAACACCCCCCCTAACCCCCCCCCCCCCCAACTACCACAAATAAAACCCACAAAACCCCCTAACACCAATCCCCCCAAACACCCACATTACCACACCCTTCCACACCAAATGACACCCCAAACCCAATACCCAATTCAACCCAAATTACCCCCACACCCAATCATCCACCAATTACCACAAATATCCACCTTCCCACCCCCCTACAACCACAACTCCCACAAAACCACACCCCCCCCCCCCCACCACCTCTACCCCCCCCCCCCCCACCCAAAACCACCCAAACACCCCACACCACTCCCACCCCCTTCCCCCACCCCCCCCACCATAACATCCCCCCCACAAACCCCCACACAACCCCATACCACAAAAAAACCCCCACATATCCCCCCCCTTACCCCCACCCAACACAACCCCCACTATCCCCCCCCAGCACCAAACTCACCACCCCCAATTCAACCCCCATTCCCACCCCCCAATTACCACACACCAACACCCCCACTTCCCACCCACCACATACCACCCAAATACACACAACATTAACACCACAATTACCACACCCCCTACCCACCCATTCCCCCAAAATATAACCCCCCAATACCCCACCCCCCCCCCCCCCCAATACCCCAATCCCCCACCCCTATCCCCACCTAACCACCACCAAACCCCACAAACCACAACATCACCACCCCCCAATTACCCCCCCCCAACATACCCACACAATTACCACCACCCTAAAACCCACCACACCCAAACATAACACCCCCACCAAACACTCACACCTTACCCCACCATTCACCCCCAATACAACATCCATACACCCCCCAATTACCCCCCACAACACACCCCCACCAATCACCCCCACCCATATCCCCCACCCCCAAACCCAACAAATACAACCCCATAACCCAACACATCAACCACCCTTCACCACCACATTCAACACCCCCATACCCAACTTCCCACACAATACCACACACCAATATACCAACCACCACATATACACAACCAATTAAAACCAAAAACCCCACCCCATTACACCCACCCACATAAACCCCCCCCCATATCCCACCAACATACAACCTCCCATTAACCCACCATTACACACCTTTCACCACAAAATACCCCCCCCCCCCCACATTAACCCCCAACCACCTATCCCAACCCCCCTAACCCCCCCCCATCCCCACAAACCCCCCCCAATTCAACCCTAACAACCATTCCCACCCATCCCCCCCCCCACACATACCCCCACATTCCACACCCCCAAACCCACCCCCTACACACAATATCACCACAAAAACCCACACCCAACCCCCCACCCCCCAATTCCCCCCCAACCCCCAAACCTTCACTACACCCCCATAACCCCCCCAAACCCCCACCCCCCACCCACACCCCACACACCAAACACCCCCCCCCCCCCCACCCACCAACCCCCAATCCCCCCCCAAAAAACCCCACAAAACCCCCTAACCAACCCCCCCACCAACAAAACCCCCCAACACCACCCCCCCACCCCCCCCCCCACCCCCCCAACCCCCCCCCACCCACACCACCCACCCCACCCCAAAAACCCACCACCACCTCCCCCCCACCACCAAACAACCACTACCACACCCAAAACCTCCCCCCCCACCAAACCCCCCCCCACCCACCAACCCCCCCCCAAACACCAAAAACCCCCCCCCCCCCACCACCCACCCTCCCACCTCCCAACCCCCTCACCCACCCAACCCAAACATATTACCCCACCATATCCCCCCTACACCCCTCCATCCCCAAAAAACACCTCAACCCTCCAACTTACCAACAAAACCCCCCACTCCCCACTACAACCCAACACCTAACCCCCCTCATCCCCACCCCTACACCCCCAACCCCCCAAAACCCACCATCCCCCACTACAACTCCCCAAACCCCCACATAACCTCTACAACCCCACCCTATCCCCCACCCCATCCCCCACCCACAACTAATCCCCCATACCCCCCCCCCCCTTACCCCCCCCCACCCCCCCACACAACACCACCAAAACCCCCATACCTCCCCACCCATCCCAAAACAAAAATACTTCTCTTCCACCCCCCCCCCTCACAACCCACCCCCCCACCCCCACACCCCCCCCCCACACCCCCCCCCCAACCCACCCATAACCAACCCCCCCCAAACTCACCACAACTATTTACACACCCCACATATCCACACTCCCCACCCCCCCACCCAATCAACCTACACTTACCCACAAACATCCACCCCCCTAAATCCCCATACCCCCCCCCCCCCCCACCCCTAACCCTACCCCCCCCCTCCACCCCCCCTACATATACCCCCCCCCACAACACAACACACCAACCTACCCACCCCCCCCCCCCCCCCCTATCCCACAACCCCCCTAATCCACCAACACTCCACCCACCAACACCCCATCACACCCCCCCCCCCACCCACATCCCAACCCATACCACCCCCACCCCCATACCCCACCACACCCCATACTATCCCCCACAAACTCCATACCCCCCCCACACACCCCCTAAACACCACCTCATCACCCACTAACCCCACCCCCCCCCCCCCCCCTATCTACCTCTCAATCACCCCCCCACATAACACAACACCACCCCCCCCCACCCCCAATCATAACCCCCAACCCCCCAACCCCCCACCACCCCCACCCACCACCCCCCCCCCCCCCACTAAAACCCCCACCAACCCACCATACCCCACCCCCCCCCCTCCACACAACCCACCACACCTAACCCATATCCCACAAAACCCCCACCCACCCAAAATAAACACCTAAACCCAACATCACCCCCATACCCCCCCCACACTCAACCCCACAACATAAAAAACAACACCCCCCATACCCACAAACAATCCAATCCCCAAACTCCACACACACCCCAACCAACCCCCCCCTCCCACAACCACCCCCAACTCCCCCCCCCCCCCCCCCTACACCATCCACTCCCCATATCCCCATCCCATACACATACACTACATACCAATCACCCCCCACACCCCCCACAATACCCCCCACTACACCCCTACACCCCCACACCCCCCCCACAAACCAACCCCTACCCCCCCCCCCATCACACCCAATACCCCACATCTTAACCACCACCAACCCCCACCTACCCCCATCCACCCACCCCCCCCCAACCCATCCCCCCCCAACCCCCAAAATCCACCCCCCATACCACCCAATACCCCTCCCAAACAACCCATTCACCATCCCACACAATCTCCCCCCCCCATCACACCAACACCCCCCCCCCCCCCCTCCCCATCCCAAAACTCAACCCTCACCCCCCCTATATACCATACTCACCCCCCTACACCCCCAAATCACATACACCCCCCCCCCCCCCCCCCCCACCAACCCCCCCAACCCCCCCCCACCCCACCCACCTACCCCCCCCCCCACACACCCCCCACCACCACATACAACCCACACAACATCACATACCCCCCCCCATTACCCCCCATACTCTCCCCATAATTAAACCTTATTCATCACAAACATCCCCCCCCTCATCATACTCTCCCTCACCCCCCCCACCCACAATAACCCCTACCTCTCCCCACACACCACCACCCCACCCCCCACCCCCCCCCCCCCCCACATCACCACCCCCACCCCCCCCCCACCCCAAACCAATCAACCCCCCCAACCCACCCATCATCACCCCCCCCCCCACCCCCCAATCCCCACCCCCACAACCAACAACACCCAACCACCCCCACCATAACCCCCCCCCCACCCACAACATAATAATCAATTCCCACTCCCATAAACCCCCACACACCACCCCCCCTAACCACAAAAACACCCCCCCACCCACCCACCCCTACAATCCCCCCCCCAACCCCCCCAAAAATTCCCCCCCCACCCCCATCCTCCCCTCACACCACTACACCAAACAAACCCCCCCACCCCCCCCCTCCCCCAACACCCCCTAACACAAACAAACAAATACCAAATCCAATAAAACAACACTACATAACCACAACCCAAACATCAACCAAACCCAAACCCAACCCACCAAAACCCCCCACCCACCCACCCCCCCCCCCCCCCACCCCCCCCCCACCCCCCCCCCCCCCCCACCCCCCACCCCCCCCCCCCCCCCCCCCCCCCCCCCCCCCCCCCAACCACCCCCCCCCCCCCCCCCCCACCCCCCCCCCCCCCCCCCCCCCACCCCCCCCCCCCCCCCCCCCCCCCCCCCCCCCCCACCCCCCCCACCCCCCCAACCCCCCCAACCCCCCCCCCCCCACACCCCCCACCCCCCCCCCCCCCACCACCCCACCCCCACCCCCCCACCCCCACCCACCCACCCCCCCCCCCCCCCACACCCCCCACCCCCCCCCCCCCACACCCCCCCACCCCCACCCCCCCACCCCACCACCCCAACCCCCCAAACCATCAACCCCCCCATACCCGGGGCTCCATGAGGGTCTCTGTACCTGGGGTCTGGGGCTCCATGTGGGTCTCTGTACCTGGGGTCTGGGGCTCCATGTGGGTCTCTGTACCTGGGGTCTGGGGCTCCATGAGGGTCTCTGTACCTGGGGTCTGGGGCTCCATGTGGGTCTCTGTACCTGGGGTCTGGGGCTCCATGTGAGTCTGTACCTGGGGTCTGGGGCTCCATGTGGGTCTCTGTACCTGGGGTCTGGGGCTCCATGAGGGTCTCTGTACCTGGGGTCTGGGGCTCCATGAGGGTCTCTGTACCTGGGGTCTGGGGCTCCATGAGGGTCTCTGTACCTGGGGTCTGGGGCTCCATGTGAGTCTGTACCTGGGGTCTGGGGCTCCATGTGGGTCTCTGTACCTGGGGTCTGGGGCTCCATGAGGGTCTCTGTACCTGGGGTCTGGGGCTCCATGTGAGTCTGTACCTGGGGTCTGGGGCTCCATGAGGGTCTCTGTACCTGGGGTCTGGGGCTCCATGTGAGTCTGTACCTGGGGTCTGGGGCTCCATGTGGGTCTCTGTACCTGGGGTCTGGGGCTCCATGTGGGTCTCTGTACCTGGGGTCTGAGGCTCCATGTGAGTCTGTACCTGGGGTCTGAGGCTCCATGTGGGTCTGTACCTGGGGTCTGGGGCTCCATGTGAGTCTGTACCTGGGGTCTGGGGCTCCATGTGGGTCTGTACCTGGGGTCTGGGGCTCCATGTGAGTCTCTGTACCTGGGGTCTGGGGCTCCATGTGGGTCTGTACCTGGGGTCTGGGGCTCCATGTGAGTCTGTACCTGGGGTCTGGGGCTCCATGTGGGTCTCTGTACCTGGGGTCTGAGGCTCCATGTGGGTCTCTGTACCTGGGGTCTGAGGCTCCATGTGGGTCTCTGTACCTGGGGTCTGAGGCTCAATGTGGGTCTCTGTACCTGGGGTCTGGGGCTTCATGTGAGTCTCTGTACCTGGGGTCTGGGGCTCCATGTGGGTCTGTACCTGGGGTCTGGGGCTTCATGTGAGTCTCTGTACCTGGGGTCTGGGGCTCCATGTGGGTCTGTACCTGGGGTCTGGGGCTCCATGTGGGTCTCTGTACCTGGGGTCTGGGGCTCCATGAGGGTCTCTGTACCTGGGGTCTGGGGCTCCATGAGGGTCTCTGTACCTGGGGTCTGGGGCTCCATGAGGGTCTCTGTACCTGGGGTCTGGGGCTCCATGTGGGTCTGTACCTGGGGTCTGAGGCTCCATGTGGGTCTGTACCTGGGGTCTGGGGCTCCATGTGAGTCTGTACCTGGGGTCTGGGGCTCCATGTGGGTCTCTGTACCTGGGGTCTGGGGCTCCATGAGGGTCTCTGTACCTGGGGTCTGGGGCTCCATGAGGGTCTCTGTACCTGGGGTCTGGGGCTCCATGAGGGTCTCTGTACCTGGGGTCTGGGGCTCCATGAGGGTCTCTGTACCTGGGGTCTGGGGCTCCATGTGGGTCTCTGTACCTGGGGTCTGGGGCTCCATGTGGGTCTCTGTACCTGGGGTCTGAGGCTCCATGTGGGTCTCTGTACCTGGGGTCTGGGGCTCCATGTGGGTCTCTGTACCTGGGGTCTGAGGCTCCATGTGGGTCTCTGTACCTGGGGTCTGAGGCTCCATGTGGGTCTCTGTACCTGGGGTCTGAGGCTCAATGTGGGTCTCTGTACCTGGGGTCTGGGGCTTCATGTGAGTCTCTGTACCTGGGGTCTGGGGCTCCATGTGGGTCTGTACCTGGGGTCTGGGGCTTCATGTGAGTCTCTGTACCTGGGGTCTGGGGCTCCATGAGGGTCTCTGTACCTGGGGTCTGAGGCTCCATGAGGGTCTCTGTACCTGGGGTCTGAGGCTCCATGTGGGTCTCTGTACCTGGGGTCTGAGGCTCCATGTGGGTCTGTACCTGGGGTCTGGGGCTCCATGTGGGTCTCTGTACCTGGGGTCTGGGGCTCCATGAGGGTCTCTGTACCTGGGGTCTGGGGCTCCATGAGGGTCTCTGTACCTGGGGTCTGGGGCTCCATGTGGGTCTCTGTACCTGGGGTCTGGGGCTCCATGTGGGTCTCTGTACCTGGGGTCTGGGGCTCCATGAGGGTCTCTGTACCTGGGGTCTGGGGCTCCATGAGGGTCTCTGTACCTGGGGTCTGGGGCTCCATGAGGGTCTCTGTACCTGGGGTCTGGGGCTCCATGAGGGTCTCTGTACCTGGGGTCTGGGGCTCCATGTGGGTCTGTACCTGGGGTCTGGGGCTCCATGTGGGTCTGTACCTGGGGTCTGAGGCTCCATGTGGGTCTGTACCTGGGGTCTGGGGCTCCATGTGAGTCTGTACCTGGGGTCTGGGGCTCCATGTGGGTCTGTACCTGGGGTCTGGGGCTCCATGTGAGTCTGTACCTGGGGTCTGGGGCTCCATGTGGGTCTCTGTACCTGGGGTCTGAGGCTCCATGTGGGTCTCTGTACCTGGGGTCTGAGGCTCCATGAGGGTCTCTGTACCTGGGGTCTGGGGCTCCATGTGAGTCTCTGTACCTGGGGTCTGGGGCTCCATGTGGGTCTGTACCTGGGGTCTGGGGCTCCATGTGGGTCTCTGTACCTGGGGTCTGGGGCTCCATGAGGGTCTCTGTACCTGGGGTCTGGGGCTCCATGTGGGTCTCTGTACCTGGGGTCTGGGGCTCCATGTGAGTCTGTACCTGGGGTCTGGGGCTCCATGTGGGTCTCTGTACCTGGGGTCTGGGGCTCCATGAGGGTCTCTGTACCTGGGGTCTGGGGCTCCATGAGGGTCTCTGTACCTGGGGTCTGGGGCTCCATGAGGGTCTCTGTACCTGGGGTCTGGGGCTCCATGAGGGTCTCTGTACCTGGGGTCTGGGGCTCCATGTGAGTCTGTACCTGGGGTCTGGGGCTCCATGTGGGTCTCTGTACCTGGGGTCTGGGGCTCCATGTGAGTCTGTACCTGGGGTCTGGGGCTCCATGAGGGTCTGTACCTGGGGTCTGGGGCTCCATGTGGGTCTCTGTACCTGGGGTCTGGGGCTCCATGTGAGTCTGTACCTGGGGTCTGGGGCTCCATGAGGGTCTGTACCTGGGGTCTGAGGCTCCATGTGGGTCTGTACCTGGGGTCTGGGGCTCCATGAGGGTCTCTGTACCTGGGGTCTGGGGCTCCATGTGAGTCTCTGTACCTGGGGTCTGAGGCTCCATGAGGGTCTCTGTACCTGGGGTCTGGGGCTCCATGTGGGTCTCTGTACCTGGGGTCTGGGGCTCCATGTGGGTCTGTACCTGGGGTCTGGGGCTCCATGAGGGTCTCTGTACCTGGGGTCTGGGGCTCCATGTGAGTCTCTGTACCTGGGGTCTGAGGCTCCATGAGGGTCTCTGTACCTGGGGTCTGGGGCTCCATGTGAGTCTCTGTACCTGGGGTCTGGGGCTCCATGTGGGTCTGTACCTGGGGTCTGGGGCTCCATGTGAGTCTGTACCTGGGGTCTGGGGCTCCATGTGGGTCTGTACCTGGGGTCTGGGGCTCCATGTGAGTCTGTACCTGGGGTCTGGGGCTCCATGAGGGTCTCTGTACCTGGGGTCTGAGGCTCCATGAGGGTCTCTGTACCTGGGGTCTGAGGCTCCATGTGGGTCTCTGTACCTGGGGTCTGAGGCTCCATGTGGGTCTCTGTACCTGGGGTCTGAGGCTCCATGTGGGTCTCTGTACCTGGGGTCTGAGGCTCCATGTGAGTCTCTGTACCTGGGGTCTGAGGCTCCATGTGGGTCTGTACCTGGGGTCTGAGGCTCCATGAGGGTCTCTGTACCTGGGGTCTGGGGCTCCATGTGGGTCTGTACCTGGGGTCTGGGGCTCCATGTGAGTCTGTACCTGGGGTCTGGGGCTCCATGAGGGTCTCTGTACCTGGGGTCTGAGGCTCCATGTGGGTCTGTACCTGGGGTCTGGGGCTCCATGTGGGTCTCTGTACCTGGGGTCTGAGGCTCCATGTGAGTCTGTACCTGGGGTCTGGGGCTCCATGTGAGTCTGTACCTGGGGTCTGGGGCTCCATGTGGGTCTCTGTACCTGGGGTCTGGGGCTCCATGTGGGTCTCTGTACCTGGGGTCTGGGGCTCCATGTGGGTCTCTGTACCTGTGATCTGGGGCTCCATGTGGGTCTCTGTACCTGTGATCTGGGGCTCCATGTGAGTCTGTACCTGGGGTCTGGGGCTCCATGTGAGTCTGTACCTGGGGTCTGGGGCTCCATGTGGGTCTCTGTACCTGGGGTCTGGGGCTCCATGTGGGTCTGTACCTGGGGTCTGGGGCTCCATGTGGGTCTCTGTACCTGGGGTCTGGGGCTCCATGAGGGTCTCTGTACCTGGGGTCTGAGGCTCCATGTGAGTCTGTACCTGGGGTCTGGGGCTCCATGTGAGTCTGTACCTGGGGTCTGGGGCTTCATGTGAGTCTCTGTACCTGGGGTCTGGGGCTTCATGTGAGTCTCTGTACCTGTGGTCTGGGGCTCCATGAGGGTCTCTGTACCTGGGGTCTGGGGCTCCATGAGGGTCTCTGTACCTGGGGTCTGGGGCTCCATGAGGGTCTCTGTACCTGGGGTCTGAGGCTCCATGTGGGTCTCTGTACCTGGGGTCTGGGGCTCCATGAGGGTCTCTGTACCTGGGGTCTGAGGCTCCATGTGGGTCTCTGTACCTGGGGTCTGGGGCTCCATGTGGGTCTCTGTACCTGGGGTCTGGGGCTCCATGAGGGTCTCTGTACCTGGGGTCTGGGGCTCCATGAGGGTCTCTGTACCTGGGGTCTGAGGCTCCATGTGGGTCTCTGTACCTGGGGTCTGGGGCTCCATGAGGGTCTCTGTACCTGGGGTCTGGGGCTCCATGTGAGTCTGTACCTGGGGTCTGGGGCTCCATGTGGGTCTCTGTACCTGGGGTCTGAGGCTCCATGAGGGTCTCTGTACCTGGGGTCTGGGGCTCCAGCAGGGTCTGTACCTGGGGTCTGGGGCTCCAGCAGGGTCTCTGTACCTGGGGTCTGGGGCTCCAGCAGGGTCTGTACCTGGGGTCTGGGGCTCCATGAGGGTCTCTGTACCTGGGGTCTGGGGCTCCATGTGGGTCTCTGTACCTGGGGTCTGGGGCTCCATGAGTGTCTCTGTACCTGGGGTCTGAGGCTCCATGTGGGTCTCTGTACCTGGGGTCTGGGGCTCCATGAGGGTCTCTGTACCTGGGGTCTGAGGCTCCATGAGGGTCTCTGTACCTGGGGTCTGGGGCTCCATGAGGGTCTCTGTACCTGGGGTCTGGGGCTCCATGAGGGTCTCTGTACCTGGGGTCTGAGGCTCCATGTGGGTCTGTACCTGGGGTCTGGGGCTCCAGCAGGGTCTCTGTACCTGGGGTCTGTACCTGGGGTCTGGGGCTCCATGTGGGTCTGTACCTGGGGTCTGGGGCTCCATGAGGGTCTCTGTACCTGGGGTCTGGGGCTCCATGAGGGTCTCTGTACCTGGGGTCTGGGGCTCCATGTGGGTCTGTACCTGGGGTCTGGGGCTCCAGCAGGGTCTCTGTACCTGGGGTCTGGGGCTCCACCAGGGTCTCTGTACCTGGGGTCTGGGGCTCCAGCAGGGTGTAGTCCGTCCTCTCCTCGTTCCACTGAGCGTTCATCGGAGCCACCAGTTTATTGTCGACATAAACGTCCAAACGCTGCGGCGCGGAGTAGAACACGGACACCAACACGCTCTGAGGAACACACGTGTCATTACCGTGTTTCTGAGTCTGAAGGACATGGAGCTGCACTCACGTCCGAGGGCCCGTCCGAGGGCCCGTCCGAGGGCCCGTCCGAGGGCCCGTCCGAGGGCCCGTCCGAGGGCCCGGCCGTGTTCAGCATCAGCCGCAGCTTCTGTGGACTGACGCTGCTGAAGAACACCTGGAACTCATGGTTCAGGGCGATGATGGCGTGGAACAGAGACAGCCTCTTCTGACACGTGTAACCCGCGCACCAGCCGTGATCCTGGGGCCCTGCACACCCAGAGTCAGGTCTCAGAGTCAGGTCTCAGAGTCAGGTCTCAGAGTCAGGTCTCAGAGTCAGGTCTCAGAGTCAGGTCTCAGAGTCAGGTCTCAGAGTCAGGTCTCAGAGTCAGGTCTCAGAGTCAGGTCTCAAAGTCAGGTCTCAGAGTCAGGTCTCAGAGTCAGGTCTCAGAGTCAGGTCTCAGAGTCACATCCACTAAACTATTTATCAAACAATTATAAATAAATACTGTTCAATTGTTCTGTTCATCTGCTGTATGTTTGTAGCTTAGGTCCTGGATCTACAGCCTCAGTCCTGGGTCTACAGCCTCAGTCCTGGATCTACAGCCTAAGTCCTGGGTCTACAGCCTCAGTCCTGGGTCTACAGCCTCAGTCCTGGGTCTACAGCCTCAGTCCTGGATCTACAGCCTCAGTCCTGGGTCTACAGCCTAAGTCCTGGGTCTACAGCCTCAGTCCTGGGTCTACAGCCTCAGTCCTGGATCTACAGCCTCAGTCCTGGATCTACAGCCTCAGTCCTGGATCTACAGCCTCAGTCCTGGGTCTACAGCCTCAGTCCTGGGTCTACAGCCTCAGTCCTGGGTCTACAGCCTCAGTCCTCGTTCTACAGTCTGAGTCAGATCTCACAGATCTGTCAGACTGACCGCGTTCGGCAACAACAGCTGATAAGAGACACACCATCACGCGTCACCTCTGATGAAGGCGGAAGTGAACCGCCAAAACATGCCGTAATTAAGCAGTACTATCTTTCTTTTCTTTTCTTGTCTTATTAGAAGAACCCCTAAAGCCAGTAATCTGCTGAGTAATGTCCACAATAGAAATATACAGACGATGATGTTCCAGGCCTCACCGTTGATGAGGTCCACGTATCCGTCTCCGAGCACGGCCACCGGAGACAGGCGCCGGGTCTCTGAGTCCGGGTCCAGACTCTCGATGACCAGGAGCCTGTAGTCCAGACCGGTGCAGCTGTAGCTCTGCCACGGCGCCATGTACGTGCAGTCCTTCCGGATCACGCCTGGACAACACACAACACCATTCACCAAGTTCAATTAGCAGTTTCAAAGACTTGTTTATCTGTAAATGTGACGGAAAACCCAGAGACAGTTTGACTCACACATTCTGAATTCTGAGTTTCTGATCTAAGAATATTTGAAGGATTGGTGGTTCTAAAGGGAGGTCACCCAAAGTCACAAAGCCGGAAAAAGTATGATTTTACCAGATTCAAAATCACAAAAATCGACTTTCTACTGTGATCTCGAGTTAATAATTCTGTTTTATTCAATATCAAGACTTAATATAATAATCTATGCTTACACAGTAATTGTCCAATTGTGGTTTTGCCGGAAATATGTCGTAATAAAGCACTAACTCTCTTATTTACACCCATCCAAGACAACCAAGCGCCTGAGGGCCGGACTCAGTGGAAGATTTGGAGTTTTTCATCAAGTAAAAGTCAATTAACGTTAGTTCCAATGTCAGTGAATGTCAGTTCCAAAGCATGCACCGGTTAGACCCGCCCATTCTCACCCCACTGCTTCCTGATTGGACGGAATAAATGTAAATCCTTAATACACAGACATGGCCCAACTATTCCCAGCAGATGGTGGTGGTTATGCCAAAGGACTGTGGTACTACAGGCACATACTGTATGGTCCAACTCTTACTCCAACTCTTACTCTTACTCCAACTCTTACTCCAACTCTTACTCTTACTCCAACTCTTACTCCAACTCTTACTCTTACTCCAACTCTTACTCCAACTCTTACTCCAACTCTTACTCTTACTCCAACTCTTACTCCAACTCTTACTCCAACTCTTACTCCAACTCTTACTCCAACTCCAACCCTTACTCCAACTCTTACTCCAACTCTTACTCTTACTCCAACTCTTACTCCAACTCTTACTCTTACTCCAACTCTTACTCTTACTCCAACTCTTACTCCAACTCTTACTCTTACTCCAACTCTTACTCCAACTCTTACTCCAACTCTTACTCCAACTCTTACTCTTACTCCAACTCTTACTCCAACTCTTACTCTTACTCCAACTCTTACTCCAACTCTTACTCTTACTCCAACTCTTACTCCAACTCTTACTCTTACTCCAACTCTTACTCCAACTCTTACTCCAACTCTTACTCCAACTCTTACTCCAACTCTTACTCTTACTCCAACTCTTACTCTTACTCCAACTCTTACTCTAACTCCAACTCTTACTCCAACTCTTACTCCAACTCTTACTCCAACTCTTACTCCAACTCCAACTCTTACTCCAACTCTTACTCTTACTCCAACTCTTACTCCAACTCTTACTCCAACTCTTACTCCAACTCTTACTCCAACTCTTACTCTTACTCCAACTCTTACTCCAACTCTTACTCCAACTCTTACTCTTACTCCAACTCTTACTCCAACTCTTACTCTTACTCCAACTCTTACTCTTACTCCAACTCTTACTCCAACTCTTACTCCAACTCTTACTCTTACTCCAACTTGAAACACGATAAAATTGGAATTACTGAAATAAAACCGTGAAACAGTTTGTAGAAGCCGAGAGACTGACACGAACACACACACACATACACTGTTTGACCAGAGGTGAAATTTAGCCCTGTTTCCACCAACCCTGCTCCACCCCAGACCTTACTCTATACTTTGCTCTTCTCTACTCTACTCTACGCTACTCCTACTCCTACTCTAACGCTTACTCTAACTCTTACTCCAACTCTTACTCAAACTCTAACTCTTACTCCACTATTTAAAAAACTAAATACAATTGAAGTCACAGACATCACCTTTAAGAACCCATTCACCCATAAAGGCAGGGTGGCTGGACATAGCAGGTGGCAGAATGAGAACCTAACCTTTGTGGGGAGCGACCTGGTCCACGGGGATGCGGCTGCCGTTGGGGAACGTGAGCATGACTTTGGGGATCCTGTAGTCGCCCAGGCCTCTCCGAGCGTCTCCGTCCCATTCGTATTCAGACTGCGGCACCACAGCCCCCACGGCCCCCAGGAGCGAGCCGTCCAGGTCCTTCAGCAGGGACTTCTTCTTAGCATCACACTCCATGTCCACGCAGTCAGACGGGTTCACTTTACTGGACACAGACATGAGTAAGATCATCAGTTAAAGGGTCTGTCTGTAAGTTAATCCTCTCAAAGGTTCATGTGAACGAGAAGCAGCTCAGTGTTCAGCTTTTACCAGAACAACTCAAGCGAGCTAAAGTTTTGAGCTAAATTCTCTCATAGCAACCTCATAGCAACCAAAAAGCCTCATGCTATTCCCTTTGCACTCGCACTTCTGAGCTGATATTTAAGCAAGAAGATCCTGGGTTTGAATCTCAGTCAGTTGATTGCCTTTCTTTGCATGTTCTCCCTGTGTCTGCGTAGGTTTCCTCCAGTATCCATTACCTCTAAAACGTCTCAGCGACACTGCTCCCGACAACGACGGCATTTAAATGTAGTGGCCTTTAAGTCTCCACAGGGACCATAACAACACCTTTAACGGACATTATCTACTTGGAAATGTTCACAGCCCGAGTTCATGGAGTCACGGAGAACACCGTCAAACACATCGGACAATCTTAAGCTGATTTTTGGTTGAGTTTTGTGTGTAGTGTTTGGGTGGACTATGGACCACAGACACAGTCACAGACACAGACACAGACACACAGACACAGACACAGACACACAGACACAGACACAGACACAGACACAGACACAGACACACAGACACAGACACAGACACAGACACAGACACACAGACACAGACACAGACACTGACACTGACACTGACACTGACACAGACACAGACACAGACACAGACACAGACACAGACACAGACACCGACACAGACACAGACACAGTCACAGACACACAGACACAGACACAGACACAGACACCGACACCGACACAGACACAGACACAGACACAGACACAGACACAGACACAGACACATACACAGACACAGACACAGACACAGACACAGACACATACACAGACACATACACAGACACAGACACAGACACATACACAGACACAGACACAGACACATACACAGACACAGACACATACACAGACACAGACACAGACACAGACACATACACAGACACATACACAGACACAGACACATACACAGACACAGACACAGACACATACACAGACACAGACACAGACACAGACACAGACACAGACACATACACAGACACAGACACAGACACATACACATACACAGACACAGACACAGACACAGACACAGACACAGACACATACACAGACACAGACACAGACACATACACATACACAGACACAGACACAGACACAGACACAGACACAGACACAGAGGGAGCATTGATATTGGTGATTTTGAGGATCATGTCTCTGTCCTCTTCTCTGTCATGAGTCCAGGATCAGTCTGACTTCACGAGATGGAGAGTATCACTGAGTCTTACCCGACGTCGGCTCTGTGGAAGAAGGCCTTGTTGTTGTCAGAGCTGTCCACCATCTTGAGGCCGGACACGTGGACCGGGTGCTGCAGATCCTCGTTCATGGTGTTTGTGATGAACATGAAGTTCTCCTGACCAGAACACACCTCTTTGAAACCCACAAAAGTGGTGTCTGGAAAAGAAACACAACCCAGAGGCACGTTTAGACAAAAGGCAACACAACAGATACACAACTGTTCAAGAATTTGTGGTCACAAAGAAAGGCCCAGTATTTCAATAAAGATAACATTAAATTAATCAGAAATATACAGTGCCTTGCGAAAGTATTCGGCCCCCTTGAACCTTTCAACATTTCGCCACATTTCAGGCTTCAAACATAAAGATATAAAATTTTATTTTTTTGTCATGAATCAACAACAAGTGGGACACAATCGTGAAGTGGAACGAAATGTATTGGATAATTTAAACTTTTTTAACAAATAAAAAACTGAAAAGTGGGGCGTGCAATATTATTGGGCCCCTTTACTTTCAGTGCAGCAAACTCAGTCCAGAAGTTCAGTGAGGATCTTTGAATGATCCAATGTTGTCCTAAATGACTGATGATGATAAATAGAATGCACCTGTGTGTAATCAAGTCTCCGTATAAATGCACCTGCTCTTTGATAGTCTCAGGGTTCTGTTTAAAGCACAGAGAGAACCATGAAGACAAAGGAACACACCAGGCAGGTCCGAGATACTGTTGTGGAGAAGTTTAAAGCCGGATTTGGATACTAAAAGATTTCACAAGCTTTAAACATCTCAAGGAGCACTGTGCAAGCAGTTATATTGAAATGGAAGGAGTATCAGACCACTGCAAATCTACCAAGACCCGGCCGTCCCTCCAAACTTTCATCTCAAACAAGGAGAAGACTGATCAGAGATGCAGACAAGAGGCCCATGATCACTCTGGATGAACTATAAAGTTTACTATAGATGTTAAAACATGTGGGAAGATACTTTTAATGGACTATATAAATACTGTGTCACATAAGTCCAGTGATAAGATCCTAACCCTCTGCTTGGAGAAGCTTTAAAACATTATTCTAGGACAGTCCAGTGTTCGTTGTGTGTTCTTTAACGTGTGCGTCACCTTTGACGACCATCAGTCCTTTGATGGCGTTGTAGCTCATGCTCAAAGGAAAAGGCTTCATGGGCGCCGTGTTGTGAGCAGAGAGGAAGTTTGGTAAACAGAGCCCGGACCTGCCGCCTGAACACACAACACACACACACATTTATGACACACACACAACACACACATTCATAACACACACACAACACACACATTCATAACACACACATAACACACACACAACACACACATTCATGACACACACACAACACACACATTCATGACACACACATAACACACACATTCATAACACACACATTTATGACACACACATTCATAACACACACACAACACACACATTTCATGACACACACACAACACACACACATTCATGACACACACACAACACACACATTCATGACACACACACAACACACACATTCATGACACACACACAACATACACATTCATAACACACACACAACACACACATTCATGACACACACATTCATGACACACACACAACACACACATTTATGACACACACATAACACACACATTCATGACACACACATTCATGACACACACATAACACACACATTCATGACACACACATAACACACACATTCATGACACACACATAACACACACATTCATGACACACACATTCATGACACACACATAACACACACATTCATGACACACACATTCATGACACACACATTCATGACACACACATAACACACACATTCATGACACACACACAACACACACATTCATGACACACACATTTATGACACACACACAACACACACACACACAACACACACATTCATAACACACACATTTATGACACACACATTCATGACACACACACAACACACACACACACAACACACACATTCATAACACACACATTTATGACACACACATAACACACACATTCATGACACACACATAACACACACACAACACACACATTCATAACACACACACAACACACACATTCATGACACACACACAACACACACATTCATGACACACACATAACACACACATTCATGACACACACACAACACACACATTCATGACACACACACAACACACACATTCATGACACAAACATAACACACACATTCATGACACACACACAACACACACATTCATGACACACACACAACACACACATTCATGACACACACATAACACACACATTCATGACACACACATAACACACACATTCATGACACACACATAACACACACATTCATGACACACACATTCACAACACACATTTATGACACACACATAACACACACATTTATGACACACACATAACACACACATTCATGACACACACATAACACACACATTCATGACACACACATAACACACACATTCATGACACACACATTCACAACACACATTTATGACACACACATTCATGACACACACATAACACACACATTCATGACACACACATAACACACACATTCATGACACACACATAACACACACATTCATGACACACACATTCACAACACACATTTATGACACACACATTCATGACACACACATAACACACACATTTATGACACACACATTTATGACACACACATTCATGACACACACATAACACACACATTCATGACACACACATTTATGACACACACATAACACACACATTTATGACACACACACAACACACACATTCATGACACACACACAACACACACATTCATGACACACACATTTATGACACACACATTCATAACACACACATTCATGACACACACATTCATGACACACACATTTATGACACACACATTCATAACACACACATAACACACACATTCATAACACACACATTCATGACACACACATGACACACACATTCATGACACACACATTCATAACACACACATTCATGACACACACATAACACACACATGACACACACATTCATGACACACACATGACACACACATTCATGACACACACATTCATAACACACACATTCATGACACACACATTCATAACACACACATTCATGACACACACATTCATGACACACACATTCATAACACACATAACACACACATTCACAACACACACATTCATGACACACACATTTATGACACACACATTCATAACACACACATTCATGACACACACATAACACACACATTCATAACACACATTCATGACACACACATTTATGACACACACATTCATAACACACACATTCATGACACACACATTTATGACACACGCATAACACACACATTTATGACACACACATTCATAACACACACATTCATAACACACACATAACACACACATTCATAACACACACATAACACACACATTCATAACACACACATTCATGACACACACATAACACACACATTCATGACACACACATTCATAACACACACATTCATAACACACACATTCATGACACACACATTCATAACACACACATTCATAACACACACATTCATAACACACACATTTATGACACACACATTCATAACACACACATTCATGACACACACATTTATGACACACACATAACACACACATTTATGACACACACATTCATAACACACACATTCATAACACACACATTCATGACACACACATAACACACACATTCATGACACACACATAACACACACATTCATGACACACACATTTATGACACACACACAACACACACATTCATGACACACACATAACACACACATTCATGACACACACATTCATAACACACACATAACACACACATTCACAACACACACATTCATGACACACACATTTATGACACACACATAACACACACATTCATAACACACACATTCATGACACACACATAACACACACATTCATAACACACACATTCATGACACACACATAACACACACATTTATGACACACACATTCATAACACACACATTTATGACACACACATTCATAACACACACATTCATAACACACACATTCATGACACACACATTTATGACACACACATTCATAACACACACATTCATAACACACACATTCATAACACACACATTCATAACACACACATTCATGACACACACATAACACACACATTCATGACACACACATAACACACACATTCATGACACACACATTCATAACACACACATTCATGACACACACATTCATAACACACACATTCATGACACACACATTCATAACACACACATTCATAACACACACATTCATGACACACACATTTATGACACAAACATTCATAACAGACACATAACACACACATTCATGACACACACATTCATAACACACACATTTATGACACACACATTCATAACACACACATAACACACACATTCATGACACACACATTCATAACACACACATAACACACACATTCATGACACACACATTCATGACACACACATTCATAACACACACATTCATAACACACACATTCATGACACACACATTTATGACACACACATAACACACACATTCATGACACACACATAACACAACATTCATGACACACACATTCATAACACACACATAACACACACATTCATAACACACACATTCATAACACACACATTTATGACACACACATAACACACACATTCATGACACACACATAACACAACATTCATGACACACACATTCATAACACACACATAACACACACATTCATAACACACACATTCATGACACACACATTCATAACACACACATTCATAACACACACATTCATAACACACACATTCATAACACACACATTCATGACACACACATTCATAACATACACATTCATAACACACACATTTATGACACACACATTCATGACAGACACATGACACACACATTCATAACACACACATAACACACACACTCATAACACACACATTCATGACACACATATTCATGACACACACATTCATAACACACACATAACACACACATTTATGACACACACATTCATAACACACACATTCATGACACACACACACAACACACCACATTCATGACACACACATAACACACACATTCATAACACACACATTTATGACACACACATTCATAACACACACACAACACACACATTCATGACACACACACACAACACACACATTCATGACACACACACAACACACACATTCATGACACACACACAACACACACATCATACACAAACACAACTAACATACACACACACACACACACACAAATACACGCACACCACACATACACACACACAACACATAACATACACACAAACACACACAAACACACGCACACAAACACACATAACATACACACAAACACACATAACATACACACAAGCACACACACACATAACATACACACAAACACACACATAACATACACACATAACACATACACACAAACACACACACATAACATACACACAAACACACATAACATACACACAAACACACACACACACAAGACACATAACATACACACAAACACACACACACAAACCCACATAACATACACACACAAACACACACAAAAACACACATAACATACACACAAGCACACACACACATAACATACACACAAACACACACATAACATACACACATAACACATACACACAAACACACACACACATAACATACACACAAACACACATAACATACACACAAACACACACACACAAACACACATAACATACACACAAACACACACACAAATACACGCACACACATAACACACACAAACACATACATACACACACAACACACACACAACACACATACACACAAACACACACACACACAACACACACACAAACAAACACACACACACACACAAAAATACACACAAACACACACACACACACACACAACACACACACACAAACACACATAATACACACACATAACACACACACACACACACAAACACACACAAAATCACACATAATACACACAAACACACACACAAACACACATAACACACACACACATAACACACACACAAACACACATAACACACACACAACACACCAAACAC